CCAGCCAGCCCTTAGTGCATGTCCATCTGTTTAACAATATATATATGATTCTCCTTCTCTACCCTTCTACCTATATTCTTTTGTCTTTAGTGCAAACGATGACTCTTATCAACCTTATCTTTCTCAGTCTTCCTCTGTTCTCCTTTCTCCTCCCTTCCTTCTTACCCTTTCCTTTTTCTTTTTTTTCCTTCCTTCTTCATCTCTCTATCCACCTTCCTCCTCTGGCTATGCTCTTCTCTCCTTCCTTTTTGCGTTGTTCCCCCTCTTCTTTCTTTATTTCTTTCTTTTCTTTCTTCTTCCCCCCCCCTTCCTTTTTCCTCCATTCTCATTTCCCTTCCTCCTTCTTTCCTTTGTCCTCCTTCTTTTATTACCACTTTCTCTTCTTCCCTTCCAGTTCATTTTTCAATCCTCCCTCCTCCCTCCTCCTTACTCTTTCCCTCTTCCTCCCCCCTTCCATCCTTCTTTCCCCCTTCCTACTTCTTCCTACCTCCTTCACAGTTCCTCTTCTCCCTCCTTCCTTCTTCCCACTTCCTCCTTTCTCAATCCTCCATCCTCCTTTCTCATTTCTCCATCCTCCTTCTTAAATCCTTCTTTCTTATTCCCTTTCTCCTCCCTCTCTTTTCTCCCTTCCTTCTTCCTCCATCATCACCCTGCTTCCTCTTTCTCCCTCTTCGTCCTCCTTATTTTAATCAGTCATGAAGGACAAACATATTGCTATTTCGTCACTTAGATTGTTGGACGAAAAAATAAAAATAATTAGCGGCAATGTCCGTGTATGTATTTGTTTGTTCCTTTGTTTGTGTGTGTGTGTTGCGTGTCTGTGTTTGTGTGTGTTTGTTTATGGATGTATGTGTGAGTTTGTTTATGCATGTGTGTGTGTGTATGTGTGTGATGTTTGTGTTTGTTTATGCATGTCTGCGTGTATGTTTGTTTATGTATGTGTGTGTACGTGTGTATGTGTGTGTTTGTGTGTTTGTGTTTGTTTATGCATGTCTGCGTTTATGTTTGTTTATGTATGTGTGTGTACGTGTGTGTTGTGTGTGTGTGTTTATTTATGTATGTGTGTGGTATGTGTGTGTATATGTGTATGTGTGTTGTGTGTGTCCATGCTTGTGTGCATGTATGGCCTTTCGACACAAATACCAGACGTCAAAGGTCCACACAGGAGTTGTCTCAAATGCTCTCTCGAAGTGGACACAAAAAACAGGCTTTTTGAGGCTGAGTTTAATATGTGCACAGGATAGGGAGTAAGGGGAAGTAGGGGGGGGTGAGAGGGTCATGAGGTGAGGGGGGGAGGGTGGCGGGAGTGGGGGTGAGGGTCATGAGGTGAGGGGGGGTGGAAGGGGAGTGGAGGAGGGGGGAGGGGCGAGTAGAAGGGGTCAGGGAGGAGCCAAAAGCCCAGAGCCGGTGCCAGGGAGGTATATAAGACCCAGCGGGAGCCACGGTCGAAAGTGCAGCAGCTGCAGTCGTCAACTAAAGCAATATGAAGAACCTGGTAAGTCGTTTTGGCTTTATTTGCTTTATCGAACCCGAATCATGGTCAGAAATAGGCTTTAATGCGCAAATATTCGAGGGAAAAGGGGATATGGGTTTAAGTGGTACTAAGGTGGATTAATTTCATTTAGAGCTATTATTGATGGAGAGATTATGTCTTATCAAACTTAAAGTTGACGGAATATGGTATTCTTTAAAGAAAGCATGTTTAATCCTATATATTATGTGTAGAGTAAAAGTCTCGAAAACCGAATGAACGATTTTTTTTTTTTTTTACAAATTTTCTTTTATCTGTACAAGAGATTTTGGTGTTATAAAATCTAAGTGAAAAATTGAAATTGATCTCTGCATTATTCGTATATTGCATTTGTATTTATTGAAATTTTGAGTTTTTATGGACTGTTGTATACATTCACTATTCATTTTTTACGTTTATATACATATCATTTTGGCAGAACATCTATCTTTGGCATTTTTACATTTTGATTATTTTCCATCATTCGCGAGATATTTTGTTTATATGCCTTTACATATAAGAAGTAAAACAAGAAAAATATAATTAAGTAGAAAAATATCAAATAAAGGACCTTAATCAGATAATGTTGGAAAGACGAGTGCTTTTAGTAATGCAAATGAAAGATATTTCTTCGCTGAAGGAAGTGTGAATGTAATCGAAATTTTGTGCATAATCTTTCCGTTCATTACAAGAAAATGGAAGAAATTATTCCAGTTGTTCAGAATTGATACCAGCTAAGACTGAATATTAGCTATGGAAAACCTTGCAATGTCATTATTTTTTGTTTTCGTTATCTAATGATATAGGTTATTATAAATATTTTGAACTATTTCTCCTTTCGGCCAAAATCTCTTTTCGAAAGTCCCCATCAGTTTTATAATAGACCTTAACGAAAAGATCCCCAAATGAAACCAAACTTAACCTCAGCTAAGATAACCTAAGCTATGATAACCTAAGATAACCTATGATAACCTAAGATAACCTAAGATAACCTATGATAACCTAAAATAACCTAAAAAAAAAAAAAAAACTAAGATAACCTAGGATAACCTAACCCGTGTCCCGCAGGTTGTGTTGGCTCTGGTCGCAGTGGTCGCAGTGGAGGCCATGCCGCAGGCGGTGGAAGGGAACTCCCTCACGCCCTCCGCCGCAGTGCCGCAGACTCCCGGCATGATCCTGACCGCCGCACAGGGCACCATCCCGACGCAGCTGGTTCAGATCGCCTCGCCGCTGTTCCAGGGCGCCCCAGCGACTGCCGGACCTGGCCCCGCCGCCCCTCAGCTCTTCTCCCTCACGCCCATCATGGTGAGTTTCGGGTGGGTTTGGCGTGGGTTTGGTTGAGGGGTTTTGGGGTGGAGTTGTGTGAGGTTTGGTTGTGTCTGTTTTTGGTTGTGTTGGAGTTTTCTTGGGGTTTTGGTGGGTATATTTCTTTTGTTTTTGTTTTTCACTTGTTTTCTTCTTGTTTCTCTTTCTTGTTTTCTTCTCACTTTCTCATTCACTTTTCTTCTCTCTTCTTTCTTTCTGTTTTTTTCTATCGCTTTTCATTTCCTTTACACCCAAAACGTAGAAAAAGCCATTCAAAAGACCGCCCATTTTTGACTTTCCGCCCCAGCGAATCCAAAACAAAGCCCTCCCACTCACCCCCTGTCTCCCCTCCCTCCTCCCCCGCACGCAGATCCACCAGCTGTCCGAGGCGGAGCAGAACGCCCTCGCCCACCGGGAGTTCCTGAAGATTTGGAAGCCCAGGCGATCCGCAACCAGGCATTCCTATTGCTCCTGTCGACCCCACCCTTGCAGCTGCCCCCGCCCTGCCCCGCCCCTGCTCCCGCCCCCGCCCCGCCCCGACGTCTGAGACCTTTTCCCTGACCGTCGAAACTGCTCCTGCTACAGACTCCGCCCCTGCAGCGAGCGCCGAGCCAATCGCCGTCGTTTGAGGGGCACAAGCTCCGCCCACAAGAGGACTACGTCATTAGCTAACGAAGAACTCTCTTTTAAACCGAAAATAATAATCAAATTTTATATTTTTTGTCTAAAATTTATAAAATTTTCAAAAAAAATAATATTGATAAGGTCAAAGTAATTTTTCCATCTTCGTGAGACATTGACGGCAGCAAGTGGGCGGTTATTGTACAAAACGTATTGTGCGATAAAGTTATATTCGTTTTATTTAGAAACGCCAAATTTACAGACAGTTACAGTATCACGTAAACATTTTGTTCTTTCTTTTCCTCATCAGCAGCCGTTAAAAATATTCAGATTATAAAAAAAGTTTTGTCCTTTTTTAAAATTCTGTCCTTTTTTTTTAATTTTGTAATTGAACATTGTAAAATACTGATGAAGAAAACACTTTATTTCTACAGATGTTTCGATAAATGAACTGTCATCTAATTTCTTAGTATTTTCTCTTTTATTTGTTTCCGTGTTGTGTAAGCGTGATAAATAAAAACAAGAAAATATATTACCATATAATTTTTATTTTCATTTCCTTGTCTCTCTTTATTCTTTATCCTCTTTTGATATGTATCATCTCCCTATATATTCTCTTAATGCAAAACTACATTATAAATATATATCTGTATGTGTGTGTGTGTGTGTGTGCACCTTAAATTCACATACACACACACACACACATACAGATATATATTTATAATGTAGCTTTGCATGAACAAAATACATATTGGTAATACCATATCTTGATGACAGTCACAAAATCTTACGTACATTCATATATGATTTATGGACATATCAATGTAATTTACAAGGTACACTTGTAAAGAAAAAAAAACTATCCCACCTATTTCAGCAAGTACACATACAAATACACAAACACAATAATTAATACAAGTAAAAAAACAAAAACAAAATAAAACATTTTTCTCTGGATTTTTTCCTCTCTTCTGACTGTAAAGGAAGTTAGAAACCACTGAAAAATCTCAAATTTCCGACATTAATTTTAGTCTATCCTCATCTCTCTACTTAATAAATCTACTTATTCTACTTTCCTAGTTCTATCCTTAATCTACCCCCATCTACTTATAATCAAACCTCAAATCCACAATAACTTGTTCTTAATATATCTCAACACCATTCCTTTAACTACAAATCTGTTCTTAATCTGTTCTCTATCCTAAAATCTGTTCATAATCTATCCTTATTCATTTGGTCTGATTTAAATATCTACGTATAATTTACCCTCAACATTAACTCTACCCAATCGATAATAAATTTACAATACGATTCGTCAGTAACTGCTTTCAAGTAATTCTGGTAAATAACGTGTTAACAAAAATAGATAATGACAATAGATTAAAAACCATAAATGATATTAACATCAATAACTAATTAAATAAACAATAATGAGTAGATATAAAAATAAATAAATCAATAAGAATTTAAAACATAAATGAAATGAAAAACAATAAACTAATCAAATAAACAACAATGATTAGATAGAAAACACAAATAATCTAACAAGAATTTAAACCACAAATAAACCATACCACACAAAACACACAGAGATCAATTCATCCATCCTACAACAACAACAAACAAAGATAAGGATAAAACCACCCCATTATCCCTCCCACATTATACACTAGAGCAACAGTATTGGCTATCGGGAGCAAGGTAAGGATTGCACAGGAGATTGAGGAGCATCTGGATCTCGTCTTGGTTCGTCTCGTAAGATGAGTGGTGGACGTCTTGGCAGTTCCACCATCTTCCTGAAAGAATTAGAGAGAGAATTTTGAGTTTTGGTGTTTAGATGGTTTGATGTTGATTGTAGTTAATTTGCTTTTACTAATGTCTATTAGTTAGTTATTATTGATATTAATGAATAAGGTAATTCGTTAATATGAACTGTTGTTGTTATTCTTATTTCTATTGGATACTTTGGAAAGACACCTGTTACACGTGGCTGTATCGTGCTTCCATTCATTTTTGTTCAAAGATATTATATTTTGGTACAAAACAAAACCGAATATATATGAACCAATCTAACGATAACAAAGAAAATAATAACGACCTTAACAACAAAAAAATATATAACCAAAACCACTGACAACAACAAAATAAAAAATAAACAAAAATGAAAACTCACCAAAGTACATGTTTTCTTCATGCAAACCCGAGGATCTGAGAAGCAGGCACTCGCGGTGGTTGGCCAAGTTGAATGGCACTGTCGAGTCCCACTGCCACATGCCGGTGCCTCTGTGCCAGGGAGAAGGGAGAAGAGAGAAGAGAGAAAGGAGAAGAGAGAAAGGGAGAAGGGAGAAGGGAGGAAGAGAAGAGAGAGGGAAAAGAGAGAGAAGAGAAGAGAGAAGGGAGAACGGGAGGAGAGAGAAAGGAGAAGGGAGAAGGGAGAAGGGAGAAGGAGAAAGGAGAAGGAGAAGAGAGAAGGAGAAGGGAGAAGGAGAAGAGAAGGGAGAAGAGAGAAGGGAGGAGAGAGAATGGAGAAGGGAGAAGAGAGAAGAGAGAGGGAGAAGAGAGAAGAGAGAAGGAAGAAGGAAGAAGAGAGAAGGGAGGAGAGAAAAAGGGTTGGTGAGTGGAAGGGTGGAGAAAGGGAATGATGTAATTCTAAATGTTGATGAGGATTTGAAAGGGGTTATGATATGATGGTGATGATAATGAGGGATGAGAGTGATGGTGATGACGATGATGATAATGGTGATGGTGTTACTGTTTTTACTACTGTTACTATTTCCACTGCTACTACAAATGATAATGATGGTGACTATGTTAACGATGATTGATGATGGTGATGATGATGGTGATGATGATGATGATGATGATGATGATGATGATGATGATGATGACGATCATGGTGGTGTTGGTGATGATGATGAGAATGACGATGATAGTACAAGTACATAACAGAATAACGAGAATAATGATGATATCCACACATACAAAGTACAACCCTACACACACACACACACACACACACACACACACACACACACACACACACAACACACACAAACAAACCACACACACACACACACACAAACACACAACACACACACACAACAAACAAAACACGCACACACACAAACAACACAAACACCCCCCAAACAAACACACCCACACACAACCAACCAAACCAAACAAAATACAAACTCAAACACACCCACTCTCTTCACTCTGTCTACACCCTCCCCTTTACCTCAATGAAGTCAACCAGAGCCAAGCATCCATAAAGGGAATTCCGTCACTGAACTGGTTCATGTCAATCTTCTTTTGCCACAGAAATGTCTCCACGTCATTTCCAGCAATATCATTCTCGAAATTGAACCAACGATACCTGTTCATAGAGAAATTAAGAAAAAAAAACTATGCTTATTTTTAGATACCTTTATATATATATATATATATATATATATATATATATATATATATATATATATATATATATTTAAATAGATATAACGAAATTATATATCTTCTCCAACAATATCATTCTCGAAATTGAACCAACGATACCTGTTCATAGAGAGATTAAGAATTTATACCTATGATCATTTTAGATACCTTTATATATAATATATATATATATATAATATATATATATATATATATAGAGAGAGAGAGAGAGAGAGAGAGAGAGAGAGAGAGAGAGAGAGAGAGAGAGAGAGAGATTGAATAGAATAGATATAACGGAATTTATATAGCGAAAATGAAAGAAAAAACTCATACCTATGCTTATTTTTAGATACCTAAAGAAATTAAGATAGAGAAATTAAGAATTTATACCTATGATCATTTTTAGTTTTATATATATATATAGATTTGAATAGATATAACGGAATTTATATAGCGAAAAAGAAAGAAAAAAATTATACCTATGCTTAATTTTAGATACCTTTATATAAATACTTTATATATATAGATATTGAGATTTAAATAGATATAAGGGAATTTATATTTAGATAGAATATATACACCTGAATTTATAAATATAGATATACAGATAGATGTATATATACATAGAT